TGAGGAGAAGTTGGGTTGGGAGCGGGCAACTGTCACAGGGTCACCCAGTGAGTTTCATGGAGGGGGCTTGATCCTGGGTGTCTTTGCGTCCTAGTCTGACACTGTAATAAGCGGGCAACTGTCACAGGGTCACCCAGTGAGTTTTATGCAGGGGGCCTGATCCTGGGTGTCTTTGCGTCCTAGTCTGACACTGTAATCCTGCAGAGGCCATAAACAGTGTATTCCTCATGGTTTGGGTTTTTTTGGTCTTCCTCTGAAGGGAAAAGAAAATGGTGGAAATAAACTTCCTCTGCGTGCACAAGAAGCTGCGTTCCAAGCGAGTGGCACCAGTTCTGATCCGAGAGATCACCCGACGGGTACACTTGGAGGGGATTTTCCAGGCTGTGTACACTGCTGGCGTGGTGCTTCCAAAACCTGTTGGGACTTGTCGGTAAGGGCTGAATGGCATCCCAGCTGGATTTTATCTCTTCTTTCCATTGGCTCCCAGAGGGTTTTCGTCGCATTGACTTGCCATGGGTGATTCTCTCTTTGTACAACTCACCTGCCGGGCTCACCCTGGGCCTTGAAACTCACTCTATAACTAAGTGTGGAGAGTCAGTCCTAATCTCTCCTGTGGGTAAAGGCAAATGGGAAATGAGCCATCGAACCTGAGGTTTAAAAAAAACCAACCCAACATTATGCAGATGAGAGGACACTTGCAACCGAACCAGCCTGTCCTTAAAAATCACTGGAAGCAAAACTGTGGAGCCTGATGAAACTCTTTGGGCATAGGTATCAGGAGCAAAAATAGGACTGGAGGTTTGTACCTTTTCGGAGTGATGAACCAGGAGGCTGGAGCAATATGTAGCGTGGGGGTTAAGCTGGAGTTTCCCAGACCCCTCTCAAAGCAGTGGTTTCCCGACCTTTTCAGAATGGTGACCCACCTTTCCAAATTTACTTGGTGTGGTGAGGTGACCAATATTCCCTCTAAGCTGTGGAGTCTTGTGTGCAAAAATTTTACTTTGTGAGCTACCGGCATTAAAGTTGTGAGCGGGCAATTTGGCCACTGCATAAATTACTTTGCTCTGGAGTCCCATCCTTCCTGAGCTAAGACAAAAATGTGTGAGCTGGAGGCTAAATAAACTGTGAGCTAGCTCACACTAACTCAGCTTAGAGGGAACACTGGGGGTGACCCACCTGGGAGCGCCCCAAGGGGTTTTTTTTGGTGCCCTAGGAAAACGATGACTGTGGCACCCATCTAGGTCAGGACTCCCATTTTCTGCAGTGGCCAACCAAATGCTTTTTAGAAGTCAGCAGACATCACACAAAGGCTGCAGCTGCCCCCACTGTGAACCCCAAGCAAGTGGCCTTCCAACCTACTCAGCCTCTGCATATGGAGGTTGCATTAACCATCCTCTTCATTAGCCCCTCTAACCCCACCCCACCCCCCCGCCAAGATTCTACGAAAGTCACACTAGTAACCGTCAGGGCACATTTTACTTGACGAGCATGTATATGCAGGGAAGAAAAAAATACCAACTAATGTATGACATGGAAGGTACTGTTCACAGAGTCACATCTTGGTTTCCCTTCCAACTCTGTGATTCTAAGAGAGAGCACAATAGAATGGGCAGGCGGTGGCCATTAGGGAGGGCTGATCTGTGATCCACGTCAGGGTCCTGACCAGCGTTCCCTCTAAGCTGAGTTAGTGTGAGCTAGCTCACAATTTTTTAGCCTCCAGCTCACAGGCTCAGGAAGGAGGGCTCCAGAGCAAACTAATTCATGCAGGGGCCAAATCGCTCGCTCACAACTTTCATGCCAGCAGCTCACAAAGTAGAATTTTTGCTCACAAGACTCCGCAGCTTAGAGGGAGCCTTGGTCCTGACCCACAGGTTGGGAAACAGTGCTCCAGAGGAGTAGGAACGTGTTCCATGCATTCACGGTGCTCTAGAGTGCCATAGCACGGAGTTTGAGAATGACCAGCTTAAGAGAAGAAGAGATTGGATTTATCCCCCCCCCTTCACTACCCGAGGGAGTCTCAGAGCGTCTGACAAACTCCTGTCCCTTCCCCTCCCCACAACAGACACCCTGTGAGGCTGGTGAGGCTGAGAGAGCTCCGACAGAAACTGCTCTATTTCAAGAATAGCTGTGCCAGAACTGTGGCTTGCCCAGAAGGAGGGCTCCAGAGAAAACTGATTCATGCAGCAGCCAAATCGCTTGCTCACAACTTTAATGCCAGCAGCTCACAAAGTAGAGTTTTTGCTCACAAGACTCCGCAGCTTAGAGGGAGCCTTGGTCCTGACCCACAGGTTGGGAAACAGTGCTCCAGAGGAGTAGGAACGTGTTCCATGCATTCACGGTGCTCTAGAGTGCCATAGCACGGAGTTTGAGAATGACCAGCTTAAGAGAAGAAGAGATTGGATTTATACCCCGCCCTTCACTACCCGAGGGAGTCTCAGAGCGGCTGACAAACTCCTGTCCCTTCCCCTCCCCACAACAGACACCCTGTGAGGTCGGTGGGGCTGAGAGAGCTCTGACAGAAACTGCTTTTTTTCAAGAACAGCTGTGCCAGAACTGTGGCTTGCCCAAGGTCATCCAGCAGGTGCAAGTGGAGGAGTGGGGAATCAACCCCGGTTCTCCCAGATTACAGTCCGCGCACTGAACCACTACACCAAACTGGTTTAATATGCTCCAACCTCCTGGTTCTTCTGAAAAGAGACAGAGCTCCAGTTCTACCTTTGCCCCCAACACTTCTGCCGGCCCCCCCTTCCTGCTGCACGCCCCCCCCCCTTCATGTCATTCCTCAAAAGTTCCCTTATCTCCCGCGAGCACCATTTTGCGGAGGCCAAGGGGACTGGAGAGGCCAGGAAGTTCCGTGCTCCTGATGGGAAACTTGGCCTGAGTCCAGCCTGCCGACTCAGACACATTAACCTGCTACAGTCAGTTTTGTCTGCTCACACCAGCAGGGTCTCGGGCCGAGATCTCAGTCAGAGGCCTTTCGTACTTTTTAATGGGAGAGGCTACGAATTGAACCTGGAACCTTCTGCCTGCAAAGTGGGTGCTCTGCTACTCAGCACGGAGGATGCCTTTCCATTATTCTGGGAGACACCTGAGAAAAATGTGCATGCATCTTTTCCGCCCCCCCCCCCCGAGTCTAATGATAGTGTATGCCTACAATTTTAATTTAAACAACAGCCACCCTGTAGTTTTCTAAAGCACCTTGGAGACACTAAGTCAGGCTTCGTTGAGGGGACTCGAGTTTTCCAAGGCTCTCTGTGGAGCAAGGAGTAACGTGATCAGTTGATTGATTTGGCCAGGGTCCAGCCTACCTGAGGGACCGCCTTTCTCCATATGTTCCCCCAAGGGCACTACAGTTGGGGGGGGGGCGTCATCTCCTGGAAATTCCAGGCCCGAGAGACGTAAAATTTGCGGTGACCAGGACCAGGGCATTTTTGGTGGCGGCTCCTACCTCGTGAAAGGAGCTCCCGGAAGAGATCCGGGCCCTGCGGGACCTCTCTCAATTCCGCAGGGCCTGCAAGACGGAGCTCTTCCGCCAGGCCTGCAAGACGGAGCTCTTCCGCCAGGCCTTTGAGTAGGAGCCGCCGCCACCACTATTCCACCTTTGCCCCCTATGCTCTGGCGTATTAACATCATGATTGCCTGGCCCCCCCAAGGGGGGAGCGAGGCGCCTGGGCACGGCTTAGATGATAAGATCTTAGGAAGTAGTTTGGAAGTTAAGATCTACCCATCTTGTCTCAATCTGTTTGTAAATTTGTTATTGTATTTTATTGTAATTTATTGTTTTTAAACTATGTGTTTACTGTTTTAACCTCGGCACATGGTGCCCTTGTTAGCCGCCCTGAGCCTTCGGGGTAGGGCGGGATATAAATTCAAATATAAATAAATAAATGTTGATTTAACCAGGAGGTTTCTTCTGTTTGACAGTTACTGGCATCGGTCTCTGAATCCCCGCAAGCTGATCGAAGTGAAGTTTTCCCACCTAAGCAGGAACATGACAATGCAGCGGACCATGAAGCTCTATCGGCTGCCGGAGGTCTGTGCTGGGCAGGGCTGTGACCTAAATCTTTTCAGAAGGGATTGTTGTAAATTACCCCACCTGCCATCAGGAATTGAAGCAAGAACGGTCCTGAGGAGACCCAAGTCCTATTTTGACGGCCGGAAGAGGGACTGGCACACCCAGGAGGCGTTCCTTCTCATATACACAGTTGCGGTCTGCCAAATAAAGACTCTTAACTCAATCAAATCATTATGACGGACTTCTTGTAAGCCACATTCTGTAGCTTCAGCTCTCGCCCAAAGAAATTCCCTTGGTTCCCGCCATCCTGTTCTCTCCCCTCCCTCACTGCATTCTACTTCTGCAGTGGCCGCAAAGACGGGGCCCATGTCCCAGAGTGGCTGGCTTCATTGTCCTCTCCTGCATTTTGTCCTCACAAGAGCCCGAGTGGGTGTAGATCCAGGTGGGCCGCCGTGCTGGTCTGAAGCAGTAGAACACAGTCAGAGTCCAGTGGCACCTTGAGGACCAACAAAGTTTTATTCAAGGTGTGAGTGTGCACACAAAAGCTCGCGTCTTGAATAAAACTTTGTTGGTCTTCAAGGTGCCATTGGACTCTGACTTCGTTCTGAAAGGGGGGTGTAGAATTGTAAAATCAGAGAGTGGGGAGGGGCCGTACAGGCCATCCAGTCCCACCCCCTGCTCAGTGCAGGATCAGCCTAGAGCAGTGGTGGCGAACCTATGGCACGGGTGCCAGAGGTGGCACTCAAAGCCCTCTCTGTGTGTGCGCGTGCCATTGCCCCCGCCAGGCCCAGATCATCGTTAAAGTGTCGAATTCTCTGCCAAATAATTTTAAGTCAATGAAAGCATTTGGGATTGCTTTCCTTCCTTTGTTTGGATCATCTTAAGTTAATGTATGAGTTGTTTTTTCTAAAGTACAACCTCAGTATTCAGGTTAAATTGCCGTGTTGGCACTTTGCGATAAAGAAGTGGGTTTTGGGTCGCAGTTTGGGCACTCGGTCTCTAAAAGGTTTGCCATCACTGGCCTAGAGCATCCCTGACAAGCGTTTGTCCAGCAGCTGTTTCAAGGCCAGCAGGGAGGGGGAGCTCACCACCTCCCTAGGCAGCCGATTCCACGATTGCACAACTCTGTCAAAACGTTTCCCCTAATATCCAGCCAGTACGTTCCCGCCCTTAATTGAAACCTATTAATTCGAGTCCTATCCTCTGCTGCCAATAAGAAGAGCTCCTTGCCCTCCTGTAAGTGACAGCCCTTCAAATACTTAAAGAGAATCATAGAATGCTAGAGTTGGAAGGGACCTTGCAGGTCACCTAGTCCAACCCCCTGCACTCTGCAGGAGCATAGCTGGAAGACAGCCCTACAACATATCCGAAAGATGGTCGTCCAGCCTCCGCTTGAAAACGTCCAGCAAAGGAACATCCACCACCTCCCGAGGCAGTCTGTTCCAAAGTTCCCTCTAAACTGTGGAGTCTTGTGAGCAAAAATTCTATTTTGTGAGCTACCAGCATCAAAGTTGTGAGCAAGTGATTTGGCTGCTGTATAAATCAGTTTGCTCTGGAGCCCTCCTTCCTGAGCTAAGACAAAAATGTGTGAGCCGGAGGCTAAAAAACTGTGAGCTAGCTCACACTAACTCAGCTTAGAGGGAACACTGGTCTGTTGCACTGCTCAACCACTCTTAGTTAGGAAGTCTCTCCTGATATTTAGCCGGCAACGACTCCCTGGTAATTTCAACCCATTAGATCTAGTCTTGCAATCCGGAGCAAGAGAGAAGAGATCTGCTCCATCTTCTACATGACAGCCCTTCAGATACTTGAAGACTGCAATCGTGTCCCCTCTAAGCCTTCTCTTTCCCAGGCTAAACATACCCCTCTTTCAGCCTTTCCTCATAAGACTTGGATTCCAACCCTCTCACCATCCTGGTTGCCCTCTTCTAGGACACGCTCGAGCTTGTCAGCATCCTTCCTAAAATGTGGTAGAAAAATCCTATTCCCCCCTCATCCTCCTGTTCTCCAGTCAGGACCACAGTCACTCGGTGAGCCATATGTAAGTGGCCCCAAGCTGGCCTCTGCAGGGAAGGCGGGGCAGAAATTTAATAAATCAAAAAATCAAATCCATATCAAGAGTGGGGATCCGAACCTGGTCTCCTGGGTCCTAGCGTAACACTCTTAGCCCCACTGCACTGCACCAGCTCGCTGTAGCTAGAGATGGAATTCTTGGCCAGAGTCCACTCATTTGCTGCAGGAAGTCTGATGGTAGGAAGGAATGGCCATAGGGCAGTGGTGGCGAACCTACGGCATGGGTGCCAGAGGTGGCACTCAGAGCCCTCTCTGTGGGCACGCGTGCGATCACCCCAGCCAGGCCCAGACCATCGTTAAAGTGTCGAATTCTCTGCCAAATAATTTTAAGTCAATGAAAGCATTTGGGATTGCTTTCCTCACTTTGCTTGGGTCATCTTAAGTTAATGTGTATGGGTTGTTTTTTCTAAAGTAAAACCTCAGGATTCAGGTTAAATTGCCGTGTTGGCACTTTGCGATCAATAAGTGGGTTTTGGGTCGCAGTTTGGGCACTCGGTCTCTAAAAGGTTCGCCATCACTGCCATGGGGGCTCCTGAGACCACAGGGCACCCACCCCCCAGAGAAGGCCGCCCCCCACCTCTCTGGACAAGGGACCGCCCTGGCCTCTCTGCACTGGGTATCAATCCGGCATTTGGTTCTCCTGATGCCGGATGCACAGGAATTGCTTCCCATCAGAGGAACAATCGCTTCCCATCAGATACAGAACAAAGTTGGAGTCCAGTGGCACCTCTAAGACCAACAGAGTACGCACAGAAGCTTATACCCCAAATCAAACTTTGTTGGTCTTAAAGGTGCCGCTGGACTCCAACTCAGACCAACACGGCTACCCACCTGAATCTGGTCTTGATAAGTCATTGCTTTGGGCTTGCATTCGGAGGCAGTAAACCTCTGAAAACCAGTGCTAGGAGGCGGGGTCAGGGGAGCCCTTCAGCCTCTGCCCTGTTGTTGGCCACTGTGAGGAGAGGAGGAGGAGGCGATTGGATTGATACCCCGCCCTTTACTACCTGAAGGAGTCTCAGAGCAGCTGACAAACTCCTTTCCCTTCCCCTCCCCACAACAGACACCCAGTGAGGTTGGTGGGGCTGAGAAAGCTCTTGAGAGAACTTGTGACTGACCCAAGGTCATCCAGCAGCTGCATGTGGAGGAGTTGGGGTATCAAATCCGGTTCTCCCAGGTTATAGAGTCTGTGCACTTTACCACTACACCAAACTGGCTCTCTGGGAGACCGGATGCTGGACTAGATGGTCTGATCCAGCCGGGCTCTTCTGATGTTCTTCCAGATGTAGCTTTGGGTCTGGAATAGTGACGTATGCAGAAGCACAGAGTGGGTTTCTCTGAGCACGGGGCTGAGTTCTGGCTCTTTTGTACGCTGAGTGTAAACATTCCTGGTCGGCTAGAACTGAGTCCAGTAGCGCCTTGGAGATCAGCAGCAGTTTCAGAGTATAAACTTTTGAGAGTCAAATCTAGAGATGTAAAATTTCCGGAAATTTTGAAGCTCGGAAAAAAACCCATTTTTTCCCCAGTTTTTTTCGGGAAACACCAGAAATTTTCGGAAAAATTGAAAAAATGCTACATTAGCATTTCTTTTGTCTTTTCTAGATTGAAAGTCATTCTGTTACTTTAGGAACATAAAATATGACTGGACATTTTTACTTGGCATGAAATTATCACAACTAGAATATTAAAAATATAGTGTATCCAAACAATTATTACAAACAGAATACCCACCCACATGCAAAAACAAAACTGAAACCTTTTTATTTTCTTCTGACAATAGCACCTCCTAAAGGAAGAAGTGCATCTTGTTCTTGCATTGGAAAGTTCAGTTTGTAACCTAGGACTTGCTTGTCCGCAGTGCAGAGAAATTAGATCAATCTGATACCATATATATATATATTTTAGAAATGGAAAATATTTGAACATCTTGTCTTAAAATATTTTATTCATCATGTTAAAATAAAATGTTCCATAATCATTTTTTTTCTTTTTTCAATTTTTTGATTTTTTCGGAAAAAAAACAAAAAAGTTTCAGGAAAAAAACTGAAAAAACCCGGGGGGTTTTCCTAATTTTTCCGGGTTTTTTCCGGGCCTTAGCATCTCTAGTCAAATCTACGTTTGTCGGAACTACCCCCATGTTCAGAGAAGCTCACTCTCTACTTCTGCACGACTCACTGTTCCAGATCCAGAGTTGTCTCTAAAGCGTGACTGGACTTGAATCTAACTGTTTTACTGCAGACCAATGTGGCTACCCTCTGACATGTTCTTGAGTAGTGGACCTCAGTTGTAAGACGTTTAAGGGGCGTTGGCTGAGCGTTCACCAAAATGGTTACCTTATTAATTTGCTTCTTTTCTGTGCCTAGAAGTGGCACCTTTAAGACCAACAACGTTTAATTTTGGGTATAAGCTTCTGTGTGTACTTTATTGGTCTTAAAGGTGCTACAGTGTTTTGTTTAGTCTGAAAAGCCACCAATGCCAGGTGAAGGAAATACGTCCACTCGTTCATTACACAGTTTCCAGTTCCAAAGCCCTTTTAGAGGGCACTTATCCGGCAGCACCGGTCTACTGACTGAGCACCGATACACTTCCAGGAAACCCCAGGAGTCACCAGGAGATGGAAACAGCTTGTCCCAGCAGCCTTCCTCAGTAGATCTCTTCTGTTTCTCCCTTCCTTCCTCTAGACTCCCAAGACGCCGGGGCTGCGGCCGATGGAGCACAAAGACATCCCTGCGATACACAAGCTCCTGGCAGAGTACCTGAAGCAGTTCCACTTGACCCCTGTCATGAATCCGGAGGAGGTGGAGCACTGGTTCCTGCCGCAGCCCAGCATCATTGACACATTTGTGGTGGAGGTGAGGCTCTTGTTTTAATATCTCTTTGCTGTCAGGGAACTTTGGAGCCAGGCGCTGGCTAGAAGGAAGGATCCTCAGGGCTCCACAGGACTGTCTTCCCGCGCACCCCCTCCCTCAAGTTAAACGAGCGGAATAAATTCTATGCCGTGTGCATGTATATGTGTCCAGTTTATGTAATTTGTGCAGACTGCAGAACGCATTTTTCTTGGTGCAAAGTCTCTTACTTTAACAAACAGCTGGGGTGTTTTTAAATGTCAAGAGTACACAGCCCTGATGTTGGGTATAAAAACAGTCCTGTGAGACGATTGCAGAGAGGGTGCGCATGAAGTCCTTTTGAGAACTGAAAGTGCTTGTATGGATGCAGCAGCTGCTGCTGTTCCTGTGCATGGTGGTACACATGAACACCCACGGTTCTTTTTGTAGAAAAAGCCCAGCAGGAACTCATTAGCATAATAGGCCACACTCAACAGCAAAATTCATTAGCATATTAGGCCACACCCTGACAGCACCCTCCCGTTAATACCAGAAGTATACCTACTGAACATGTTGCCAGATACAATAAAAGACCACAACCGGATAACAGTTATATTTTAACTGCAGCTAGAATATTAATAGCAAAGCGCTGGAAAACGAAAGGTCTATAAAGTAACTTAAATATAAAATCCTGGAAATAGCAGAAATGGATAAGTTGAATGTGGAACTACAAAATAAATCTCAAGACTGGTTCTGGGATAGATGGAAAATAATTTATGACTGGCTAAAGATGAGAAAGATAGAATAGAATGGAAATTAGGCTAGTTAAAAAATGTAAGATAATGTAATAGAAAGTAAATGATTGTGTACAAGAGTGGATGAAGATGAGATTGAATTAAAACTGGACTAATGAATGATAGTTTAAGGCAGAAAAATGATTAAGATAAGAGAGGAATGCGACAATATGTCATGGAATGTTTGAGAATGGAAGGACTACATGATGTTATGCTAAAAAATGAAAAATAAACTGTTAAAAAAAGAGAGAGAACTGAAAGTGCTTGTATGGACGCAGCAGCTGCTGCTGTTCTTGTGCATGGTGGTACACATGAACACCCATATGAACATGTGAAGCTGCTTAATACTGAATCAGACCCTGGGTCTGTCAGAACCCACAGCCAACAACGAAGTACACGCATTCAGGAACGGTTATACTTTTATTGCAAAGCTATAGATGCAATAACACAGGCACTGTTAAGAATGGCGGCAACCCATAGAGCCTACTAGGCTATAGGGCATTCATATGCACACACACACCCCAATGGCATGGGCCAATTAGATACCCTCCCGCGTGCGGGATCGGCTAGGAAACCGTTAGGTGGCAAAAGCTGGGAAAGGGTAGTCTCTCACGGTACATGACCTCCTCCTGCACATCTGTAGAGATAAGCGTTGGGGCACAGGCAAAACAGCAGAGACAGGAATGCAATAGCAATTACCAAGACACAGAATGACCTCCCCAACCCCCATGGCAGCGTAGCTGGCAGGGTCCCTCAAGCTCAGTGCTGTCTCCTTAGACTGGCTGCACCTCCCCAGGGTCTTTCACACCCTTTGAACTGGAGATGCTGCCAGGGATTGAACCCCCGGGCCCTTCTGCGTGACAAGCAGAGGCTCTACCACTGAGCCACCTTCTGGACAGACAACGGTTTCCCCAAGCAGATGTCTTTCACATGAACACACGAAGCTCATTCCGACTGAATCAGGCCCTCGGTTCATCAGGGTCGGTAGTGTCTACTCAGACTGGCTGCGGCTGTCCGGGGTCTCGGGCAGAGGTCTTTCCCATCACCCTACTCCCTGGTCCTTTCACTTGGAGATGCCAGGGATTGAACCTGGGACCTTCCGCGTGCCGAGCAGCTGTCCTGCCACTGAGCTGTAGCCACACAGTCAAGGAAATGTTATCAGAGGCTACATGGATGGCCCAGTCTACACATGCAGCTAGACTAGGTGTTGTAGTTCTGGTGTAGGCAGACTCCTCCCCCGAGGCAAACTTCCCATTCCCAACAAACAAGGCCGTCCTACAACAGGCTCTCCCTCCAGTTTTCCTGCCCAGCGTTCTCCTTTATCCCTGTGGGCACGAAAGAGGGGACAAAGGGCCCAGGGAGGAAAGGCCGTGGAACTGAACAAACGAGAATGAACCTGTCCAGGAAGGCAGGGCCTTTTTTGGTAGAAAAAGCCCAGCAGGAACTCATTAGCATAATAGGCCACACCCAACATCAGAAACTCATTAGCATATTAAGCCACACCCCTGACATCATAGCTAATTGGCATATTAGGCCACACCCCCATGTTACCACACTCACCTTTTGCTTCTTATTCTGTTTACTTTGTTGTCAAAACCCAGGGCCTTTTTTTGGAGCAGGAACTCCTTTGCATGTTAGGCCACACTTTCTAATCTCCTAAGCACAGATAGGGAGATGCTGCTACCGTCCCAGCGGCTTTTCCAGGGCCAGAGGCTGACCCCAGTGTGATCCGAGCCAGGGTCCGGGTTCTTACGTGTCTCTTGTGGTCTCGTTCTCCAGAATGCCAGTGGGGAGGTGACTGACTTCCTTAGCTTTTACACCCTGCCCTCCACCATCATGAACCATCCCACTCACAAGAGCTTGAAGGCCGCCTACTCTTTTTACAACGTCCACACGAAGACGCCACTCTTAGACCTCATGAACGATGCCCTCATATTGGCCAAGCTGGTAAGTTCCTCTCTTGTGTGTGCAGCTTCCTTCCTTCCTTATCCTCCCCCCCCGATGTGGAGTCTTTCTCCCTCCAATGAGATACCAGCCTTGGATAAACGTGGGTCAGGGACACTGTTCCCTCTAAGCTGAGTTAGTGTGAGCCAGCTCACAGTTTTTTAGCCTCCAGCTCACCCATTTTCATCTCCGCTCAGGAAGGAGGGGCTCCAGAGCAAACTAATTCATGCAGCGGCCAAATCGCTCGCTCACAACTTGAATGCCAGGAGCTCACAAAATAGGATTTTTGCTCACAAGACACTGCAGCTTAGAGGGAACATTGCTTTCCATCTCATTATCAAATGTCTATCCTGACCCTACTTACCAACACACAACTTGTCTTCCCCTGCGACTATTGTTTTAAACGTAAACGGTAAATTATTTTTTTTCATTATACACTACAAACATTCGTACAAACAACACATAACTACCCCCAACAACGCATAACATATAGCAAGAGACATTTCTCACTCCTTCTGCTTATTAAATTTCTTAATTCATTATCTATTTTACTAAGCTTATCTTTTCTGCATTCTCAAATTACTACATTTATCCATCAATTACATTTACATTATACCAATCATAAAATCTTTTCCATGTTTTTTGAAAAGTCCATTCTGTGCCGGCTCTCATCTCAAGTGTCAGTTTGTCATTTTCCACCGTTTCAAATAGCTTGTTCACATACTCTTGTTTCGTTGGTATTTCCATTATTTTCCAATATTTGGCATATACTATCCTTGCAGCTGTCGACGTATGAACTATCAAATACCTATCTGCTTTATTAAAGTCTTTCAGAAATATGTTCAATAACAGTATCTCTGGAGTAAACGGGATATTAGTTCTCATTATTTTTTCCATTATCTCATGAAATAGAATTCCTGAATGTCTGAGTGTTGGGTATTTTGGGTTTTTTTAAGGCAAGTTTCCGGCTATTGTGGTTATGAACAAAAACCTGAATATCTGTGTAATGTCTTGAATACTTAGAAAGCTACTCAGTATGCAAACAAATGTCTGTGTGTTTCATTTTGTTTCCCTGTCTCTCTGCAGAAGGGCTTTGATGTTTTCAATGCACTGGATCTCATGGAGAACAAGACTTTCTTAGAGAAACTGAAATTCGGGATCGGAGATGGAAACTTACAGTATTATCTTTACAATTGGAAATGCCCCAGCATGGGGCCAGAGAAGGTAAATCATGAGAGAAGGGTGTTTTGAAGCCTTCCAGATTACATTGCATCTTGAGCCATCAGGTATTGAGTACATCCCCTACTGGTCAATCTGGAAACGGTTGGGGAGTTCCTCGGAACGTTGCTTTTGTTTGCCAGACAAAATCAGGTTTCTAGTCCTCATGGATGAGTTCAAAAAACATTGAATCAACTTTTTGCTAATTGTTTTGGAAACAAGATGTGGTCCTGAGGGGACTTCTGGCTGTCAGGGAGGAGGACTTCAGACTCCGTCATTATTTTGTTCTTATTCTCTGTAGCACCTGACAGGTCAGCTTCATGACAGGTATTAGATGGGAGAAAATCACAGTGAAAACTTACTAATTATAAATTCACATCTTATCATGGTTAATAAATACAAATTATACAAAAATGTGTAATGATTAATACTTCTACAATACTGAGACTGAAGATTCCAATACAAATTTGTAAATACCATGCAAATCTAGCCGATGGAAGGCTAGCTAACTGAGTTTTCTACATTTCCTCTGAAACCAGTGCACTTGAACTGAGTGCTGGAATAGCAATTTTTGCACTTTACTGTGACTGGTTGCCAGAAACTGGTTTGAATGTCTTTACAAATTTGGATTGGAATCTTCAGTCTCAGTATTATGTAAGTATTAATAATCACGACACACACTTTTTTTTGGGATAATTTGGCATTTGTTGGCTACAATAAGATATGAATCTATACTTAGTAAGTTTTCACAGTGATTTTCTTTCTCTTTTGGTAGCTTATTCCTGTGATACTCTCATTATTCTTTATTTTGTAATAGGTATTGGCTCATCCCGGGCCGTGCTAGGAGCTTCCTGGTTAAGATAGTCTCCTAAACATCCTGCACAACTTTAGTTACAATTCACCCCCCCAAATGTTTCACTGTGGATCTCTGGCACTTTTCTCTGTTTATCTGCAGGCGTGCTGCTAAGGGGATACCTTAGGGCAGTGATGGCGAACCTTTTAGAGACCGAGTGGCCAAACTGCGACCCAAAACCCACTTATTTATCGCAAAGTGCCAACACGGCAATTTAACCTGAATACTGAGGTTTTACTTTAGAAAAAACAACTCATACATTAACTTAAGATGATCCAAACAAAGTAAGGAAAGCAATCCCAAATGCTTTCATTTACTTAAAATTATTTGGCAGAGAATTCGACACTTTAATGATGGTCTGGGCCTGGCTGGGGCGATGGCACGCGTGCCCACAGAGAGGGCTCTGAGTGCCACCTCTAGCATAGTGCCACCGTGCCATAGGTTCGCCACCACTGACCTAGCTGGTAATCCCTTTTCCATTCCATCACAGAATTTGTCTTTTGCTGTTAAGTCACAGCTGACTTATGGTGACCAGTGTTCCCTCTAAGCTGAGTTGGTGTGGGCTAGCTCACAGTTTTTTAGCCTCCAGCTCCCACGTTTTTGTCGTAGCTCAGGGAGGAGGGCTCCAGAGCCAACTCATTTATCCAGCAGCCAAATGGCTCGCTCACAACTTTAATGCCAGCAGCTCACAAAGTAGAATTGTTGCTCACAAGACTCCGCAGCTTAGAGGGAGCGTTGATGGTGACCCCCATACAGTTTCCAGGGCATGAGACCTTCAGAGGTGGTTTGCCGTTGGCTGCCTGTGCTTAGCAGCCCTGGGCTTCCTAGGTAGTCTCCCATCCAAATACTGACCAGAGCTGACCCTGTTCGGCATCCAGGATCTGGAGCGGGAGGGCTCGCCTGGCCTACCCAGGTCAGGGCCCATCACAGAATAGAACTTGGGAAACACAGGGAGGGATCCACGCAGAACTTAAAACAATGAAGTTGCCGAAGTATACAGCAAAGTTAAAATTTAAGCAAGTCCCCTCCAGCTCTCTGATTCTCAACGATTTAGTCTCCACAGTCTCAAGAAGTTGACACTTCAACCTGTTTTTAAACACAAAATTTGGGACTCTTCAGTGCAGAGACACCTTCCCTGTTTCCCAGGTCATCCTCTCCACCACATTCATAAGAACATGAGAGAAGCCAATGTTGGATCAGGCCAGTGGCCCATCTAGTCCAACACTCTGTGTCACACAGTGGCCAGAAATACCAGGTGCCATCAGGAGGTCCACCAGTGGGGCCAGGACACTAGAAGCCCTCCCACTGTTGACCCCCCCCAAGCCCCAAGAAGACAGAGCATCACTTGCCCCAGAGCCCCTATCTATACCTTGTGGCTAATAGCCACTGGT